GGAACGATACTCCAGCCTGTGTGGAAAGCCAAGCGAGTGGAATTGGAAAGCCAAGGGAAATTCTAAGTAAAAGGGAACGAAGACCCCATATAAGTGCACTATTGCACGACATTAATTGTTGAACAAAAAAATGCTACTGTTCAAGGAAGTGATATATTATCTTTATTGGTTAAGACAAATGAAAACTTTCATGTTGATGAACAGTTAACACATAATGAATTAATTAGCCAAGTAAAAATTTATTTCATTTATTAAATGTATATAATTTTATAAAATATTATTTAAATTATAAAATTATTAAAATTTCAAGGTTATGTCATTCCTCTTTGCTGGACATCAAACAACTAGCATTGCACTATCTTGGATGCTATACACTCGCAAAAAATCCTGATGCACAGAGTCGTCTTCGTAAAGAAGTGCTAGATGCATTTACTGATCCTAATCATTTTCCAACCTTTGATGAAATTGAACATTTGAAATACTTAGATTGTGTTCTAAAAGAATCATTAAGGATTGTTCCGCCTGGTATAGTCCAATTCTATTTATCGCTTATTTATTCTATTTTTTCTATTTATTTATCTCTTATTTATTCTATTCTATTTTATTTTTATATAAAGTGCCTGGACTAATTCGTTATAATTTAAAAGATGAAATTTTGAATGGTTACTTCATCCCAAAGGTATTTTTCCAAATAGCGTTCCATAGCTTAATTAATTTGATAATAATATAGTATATAACTTTGAAACATTTTTTAGAATACTCTAATGATGATTCCTATCCACACAATCCATCATGATCCTTTAATTTGGGGCGATGATGCCGATTGGTTTAACCCATCTCGGTGGCTTGATCCAGAAATAAAATCGAAAGTATCAAGCAGTAATTTTTTACCTTTTAGTGCTGGTTCAAAAAATTGTTTAGGAATGAAAATGGCTAATTTGGAACTTAAAATTATCGTATCTATAATTATTAGAAATCTTGAGTTTAGATTAGTTGATGGCTTTACTTTTAGTAAAAAATTTTTAGGTTTAGCTGAACCTATTCCTGGAATTGATTTATGGGTTTCAAAAATAGATTATTAACTTTTTTAAAATAAGTTTATATTTTTATCAACTTTTTTTATATTAATTATATCTTTATATAAGACATTTGACTTATAGTTATTATTATATTTTTGAAAAGAGATTTTTATCACTACGTACTGGTGATCATTACTAGTATATAATATAAAATAAAATTTTATTAATAAAACTACTTTGGGAATGTGCTAGTAATGAGGAAATTTTAAATCACTTTAAAAACTTGTATTATACAGTTCTGGCAACAGTTCTTGCACCAAAAATTCTATCTTTTATACATCCCTGATTACATGAACAAGTTGTAACATAAGTTTTTAAATCTAATGATAAATTTTAAAATTCAACTACTTTGCGATTGAAGGCTTTTTACTATGCTTTTGAAATATTAGTCTATATTTTATTGCGTTTTGAAAATTTTAAATCTGATCTGCTATATAAAACTAATTTTTTTTTATTACAGCTTTTTTTTAAGATTTATTTCAGGACATAGAAGATTTATTATTAAAAAGATAGACCAGTCGTCGAAAATTCGGTGACTCTTGGAATGCACCTGTTGGTTATTTATAAAAGAAAATTATTAACTACAGTGATATTCTAGTAATATTTAAAATAATTTTGTTTAAAAAAATACTGTAGGTGGATGTTCTACTAATTTGTCTAGACGATCCTGAAATGACTCCAGCCCTATAAGAAAATTGGATCGTGATAGCACGGGGTGGTTTCGGGACGGTATAGGTTTTGGTGACACAGATAAGAAATGGGTTTTGTACATGGGAAGTTCGGATTGGCACAGATTTGTTGGTTCGTGTTGGAACGTACACCAGTGCCAACTGGACCGTTAATGACTCAGGTTTTGCAACACTTTACTAGTCCAATTGGTACGGGTTTTGATTCGAGTTGGACATGTATGACACGGGCTTAGATGGCCCTGATTTGTATGTATAGGTTTGAATTGGACGGATTTTTTTGGCCTGTGATGGACCATATCACAGTGCCAATTGGATCAGGTTTGTAACATTTTTACTAGTCCAAATGGCACAGGTTTTGATAATGACAATTATATGTAGTTCTTATACCATAGGTTTTATTATATAACAAACAATTAAAATTTTAAATATTTTATTTAAAAAAAACATCATTATACAATGAATATATTATAAACATCATTGGTAATATACAAAAAAAAAACCGCCAAACCACCCACTTAGACTAGACTAGAATTCACCCAATGCCCACCTGCTTATTTATATAAACGACGAAATAATTCTGATACAAAAACACTAAGCGAAAGTTCAAACGAAAATCTAAATGAAAATCCAAGCGAAAGTTCAAGAAAAAGTCCAAGCGATAGTTCAAGAAAATCCAAGCGAAAGTCCAAGCGAAAGTCCAAATGAAATCTAAGAAAAGTCCAAAGAAAATTCAAGCAAAAGTTAAAACGAAAGTCAAGCGAAGGTTCAAACGAAAATCTAAGTCAAACGAAGTCAAGCGAAAGTTCAAGAAAAAGTCCAGGCGAAAGTTCCATACCGCATTGTCTCAAAATAATGCCCTGGGGTGTAGGTTAAAATTTTGGCCTGAATTAATCTTCATTTAGGCCGAATTAAGCTTAATTCGGGCCAAAATTTTAACCTACACCCCGGGGCGTTATTTCGAGACAATACAGTAAGTGTTAGAAAAGTTGGTAAAAAGACAATAATAAACACAATTAAATTACTTACCCGACAAAGACTCCAAAGATAATGACGACAGCTCCAGCAACGTTAGTTTAAAGAACTACAACTCCGGCAATGCTAAAATTACATCTAGAAAAAAAAAAAAAGAATGTTAGTTCAAGAAAAAGAAAAAAAAAAAAAGTAAATGAAAAAAAAGCAAAGAAAAAAGAAAGGATAATAATAATAATAATAATAATAAAAGAAAAAAAAAAAAAAAGCAATAATTAAGTGAAAATGAAAGAAAAAGAAATGGCAAATAAAAAAAAAAAGAACAAAGCGAAAAGGAGACGAAAAAAAAAAGAAACAAAAGGAAACAAAAATCGAAAAAAAAGACTCCAAACAAAAGTCTAAACGAAAGTCCCAGCGAAAGTCCAAGAGAAAGTCCAAGAAATTCCAAGCAAAATTCCAAGAGAGGTCAAAAAATCCAAGAAAGTCAAGAAAATCTAAACGAAAGTCCAAACAAAAATCCAAGAGAAAGTCCAAA